GAGAGGGTCAGAATATTAGGAACACCTCTGAATATAATATAAGGTACACACTTTGTACCTCAGAGGGAAAAACGTTTTCATCCACATCTATCTGACATCTTTAGTTATAGTTACTTGCAGAACCACCGTTTGTCATAAGGGTGATGTATGAAAATGAATTTTCTGATTTACAGTTGTTTTTGTTTACTGGATATCTTCTTTTTTAAATAACATTGAGGTCACATGATCTGTTTAAAAAACAAAAACACTTAGATGTTTAACAGTCTGGTGCCACACTAGTAAAGTTTTTGTCAGACAAGTCAACATTCTTCCATGAGCCAGCAGTCAGGCTCCCAGAAACAAATTCATCACGCTATCACATTCCTGAAATACACAAAGAGGGTCTGAGGTATTTGTGCTGTGGGCTGAGTGTTAATTTGTTAGATGATTAAAGGCTAAATATAGCAGCCTCCTGACTCTGAGCTGTAGATGGGTGACTCTGTGGCAAACGTTCTCTTCCTGTAGTGTCACTTTTCCACCATAGGACCACATGGGGCTTTACTGGGGCTACAGGGTTCAGACTGGGTAAAAACCATCACTGAAAAGCCCATCATAACCTTGCGACTTAATGTAGACAAATAACTGTCTGAGAACATCTACCCTAAAGTACACAGATCATGTTCCTGTAAAATTATTCAGGATCTATAAAATAAAGAATTACTGCTAATTTCAACTATGTAGTTAAAACTGCATTTTAATGTCATCGGATGACATTCCACCCCTGTTGGATCCTCTGTCCACCTGATCCAAATGTCCCTGAAAACCATTAAGCTGTGTTTGGTCCTGCAATGGAAACAAAACTGCTAACTGAGTGATGGCTGAGGCCCCCAGTCAGTCGTGCCAACACATGAACTATCTCCCATCACTCTTCAGCCACTGGACCCAAGAGCCTGACACTCATGTATTGAACTTTGTTGTCAGACTCGGTGCCAGATATCCTGTGCAAAGTAATCCTTCCTAAACTCAGGCTATTTTATGAGTCACTGCAGTACTGTTTTAGCCTCTTTTAGCTTATTGTTTTGGTTTTACAGGCACACAGACCCAAACATTAGCACAGTGAAGTCCCTGCAGATTTTTGTCAGAATATGGTGGAGACAAATCTGAGCTAGGGAGAATAGATATTAGACCTTTGAAGCATTTGTTAGGTGGACAGAAAACATGATAATGTTTGCTTTCTGCTGGTTGTGTAAGTAGGCAAATGTTTGCTAGCATGTTAGACATAACATGTGATCCACTTTATTTGTTTTGAATGTCTCCAGGCTTCAACCAGCGAGAGAGAAGGTCAGGAAGAGAGAGATGTGGGAGAGGAGGCCTGGCAGCCACTCACTGCTGTGGGGGAGCCAGCTAGTGCAGCAGTGACAGGTCAGACGAACAGCACAATGTGTAGTTGTTCCTCTACATATCGGAGAGTCTTGCTTTGCTGCTGCCCACTGTGCTCAAAGCTCATGTATTACTGTGGGTGTATCATGTATTACTTGTTTGCAAATTGTCGCTTCTTGTGAGGATACAGAGTGAGTTAGTGATAGATATGTGACTCTCAGGTGCGAGACTCACACACGTTTGGCTGTGTCTGTGGCTCAGCCTTGCATTGTGACATTCACTGCTAGAATGAGGCCGTGGGATGCTGGGAGGTCAGTGGTCAAAGCCCTATAAAGAGAGTAATATCAAAAATGCACAAAAGGTCTCCTGTGGGCACCATATAATGTTGGATGTGCTGGATTCAGTTAAGTTCAATTTTATTTGTATAGCCCAATTCACAACAAAAATCATCTCATGGCACTTTACATAGAGAAAACCCAACAAATCCCCCTTGAGCAAGCGCTTGATGACAGTGGAGAAGAACTCCTCCCTGGATGTCTTGTATTTTTCTCTAGCTTAATGAGGATAAGATGTAATTTAATTTTCCCCATGTCAATTGAAATGAAACAAAAACTGCCAAATAATACCAAGATTTCTACCAGAAATTTTATTTAAATCTAAATGATTCCGTCCTTTTTTTTATCAGTCGAGAAAATCAAAGTATTAATCCTCTGCATTTAACCCAAAATGCTGCTTCTTGGCATACCGAGCTGTACACCCCCGTTTTCACATTCATTCACTGGCTTCACAGTGATGCTATAATACAGATAATTTTACCATGGCATGGTGGCGATGTGGTATGGTCTTGTAAGCCAAAGATCATGGGTTTGATCCCTGTTCATACCTCGATCCTGGTGTTGATTATTACATGCATATAACCTCCCTATATTGGCTGTTTGGAAACGGACAGAAGGTCAGGCCTCCTTGGCTTTGTTACCATCTGTGGACCCATCACAATAATGTTTTCTGTATAGTAACTACGTTTTATCTTGTGGGGAGTCATGTCTGAAGTCCTCTTTTGTGACTCCAGTCTATAGCTCTGCATCAATAGGATAAATGAATTTCATTCATTGTGTAACGTTAAACTGGAAGCAAGAACAATTAATATGGTACAAAAATGTATTATTATTTATTTAGTAACAGTTCTGTAAACATCTGAGGTAAATGAACATTTACACCAACTTGTTCTTTAAAAATAATCATTTGTACACAAGGCACTTATGTTGTTTAAGACAGCATTGGAAACAGGTTGCTGTTCTGAGCACTGTGAGATGGTTCCTACTCTCCATCAAGCCAGAGACATCATTCTGGATGAAACATAAGAGGGGAGAGCTTGAAGGGCTCACAGAGATGAGAGGCTATAAGCACAACACTGTGTCAGGGCTTTGTATGCAAGGCTAGGGAAGGGCCAGCTACCTAAGCTAGCACTGTCTCAACAGTGGAGGTGTCTGATCTGCTGTTTAACCAGAGTTCCAACCAGTCTGGAAGAGCATACTGAGTGAACACAGGAAAACACCTTCACTGTTTTTATTTTGTTTCTCTTGCTGCTGTTTTATTTTTTATATTTGAGCTTCAGATAAATAACGGTTTTTAAACCAACTGCTTTTTTGTGAAAACCCACTATGTTTTGGATTTCAGACTTTTTTGCTTTGAGATTGGCAGTTTAGTGTCACGCTCGCTCGGTTGCTATCAGCATTAGCAGCTGTCTTTCCTAAATGTGCAAATCTTTAACTACCAAAATGTACACTTTAGGAATCAAAAGCAAATGCAGATCTTTTTTGTCATTTTGAACAAGAAACATTGCAATTATGCTGTGTATATTCTTCTCTTTTGTGTTTCTTTTTGCACTAAATGTCAGCAACAGAAATAAGATGCAGTAAGAAATATTGTACCTACATGGGTACAGATACTCTTGAACCATAGAGTACCATCATTTTGGGGCTTTCCCCACCTGCATGAATTATTTAAAAAAGCCTCACTTCACTGTATCAACCTGCACATTAACTGCTGGGTGTAAATTACTGTGGACAACAGTATTTATACTTAATTGTGTTATGTCCTGCAAGTGCAATATGTCCATTTACTGAGTTTGCACACGGTGTGTGTACTTCCAACTCTGCCTCAGAAGTGAACTCACAGGATAATACAGCAGATTAAGGGTATGTTAAAGTCTGTAAATAAGGCAACTTTCTGAAAGTGAGTTCTTGGTTTGTGAATGAACAGAACAGCACAGTAACACAACAGAGACAGAAGTTAAAAGTTTGGGTTTCTAATGATCTCTAAGAATCAAGATGAACACAACAAAATAGAAGCCATCAAGGTCAACTGCACCGCGAAATGTTGATACTTGTGATGCCAGTGATTGTATTCTTTAATCATAGCTGTTTTGCAGTCACAAACTACAGCAAGTATGCAGTTTATAAGTAAAATTCATTTTGGTTTTAAATATTGCACTTTTCAGAATAAAACCAATAAAGAACCATGTGAAATGTGAAAATCATTTAACTCCCAAAGTTGATCTCAACCTTTAGTAGCAGTGGTTAAAAATGGGGTTTTGGGTTTGAGGGCAAACCTATCTGCCAACAATCTAACTAAAAACTGGCCGTTTCAAGTCTAACCTAAGAGTTTTGTGAGGTTGTCTGAATGAGCCATGAGAAAATTTTCATTTGCAAAATTTCAAGAAGGCGATATCTCATCATTTGTTTCGTTAGTGGAGAACATTTTTTCTCTTGTAGACATGTTGATTGGAGGTGACGTTGACAGAGGCAAGCATAAGGGACTGCTCTTATGTCCATTTTATAAACTAGCAGCAATGTTTTGATTTCTGTTATTGACAATGTAGTGTTTGTAGAGATTCAGGTGAATTCAGGGCATTACATGGATGAATTCTACCAGTGGTTTTGACACGTAAGCCATCCATACTGTGCCTATGTCTGTTTATTTTGAGGACTCTGGGAATATCACAGCAGTCCATTTCTGTTCATCTCAGCTGCAGTATTCAGTGGGTGAATCCCAGTTCTCTTAAGTGTCTCCATGTTTCCTTCACTTGTGTCTTTTCTTTGCATCATGGTCCTGTCCATGTAAGATGCAAGGAAAAGATGGGAGGTAAAAAGATGAAGAGGAAATGTTGTAAGAAACATGAGACATCCTTCTAGTCCTTCATCTAAAGCATCCATTCACCAACTGATTTCTGATATATAGGTGTATTGGTCCATAAAAGACTTCGGCAAAGGGTGACGTTCATGTATCCTCACTCATGGTTCCTCAAGCAGCCTCCTCGCTCCTTGCTCCAAAGAGCAGGAATAAAGAACTTTGGGATGTTCTTCAAGATGCTGAACTGGAATGACTTCTATGTATATCAAACAAGGATGAAGGAGCACATTTGGTAAATCCCAATTCCATTATTTGATTATTCTTCACATCCCAAAGCTCTTGTTCCTGCTCTGAGGTGTGAGGAGGCAACTGGAGGAGCCATGAGCAAGGATGCATTAGTGCGCAAATCATTTATAGACTGACATGCCCCTTTATCGGAAATCAGTTGGTGACTGGATGCTTCAGATGAAGGACTGGAGAAAAGGTCATCTTATGTCTCAGAACGCATTTTCTTTTTCCTTACATCTTAGGAAGGAAAAGATGTAAGTGATGGAAAGGTGGAGGCACTTAGGGGAATTAAGATTCACCTTCTGTCTCTAGAAGAAGTGCTGCAATGAATCATGGGTAAAACCAACCTGGTCACTTTTGCCATGCTAATTTGTCAGTGAATCGGTGAGTCGTAGAGCTAGGCTAGCCTGCACACAAGGACCACAATACAGGTAATGTGTTTTGATGAAATTACTTCCTGAATGAATTATATTTAACACAATAGGTGTTTGTTTAGTAAAATCCTGGAAATGCTGCAGCAAAAGACCTTCCAGGTTAACGGTCAAATGGACCAAGTTGTAGTGCAACTCAGTGCACATTCTCACCAATTTGACTACGAAACTAAATTAAAATGATGTACAAGATATATGGGTGAATTGTCTGGCTACACATTGAATAACTGGTTTCTCCACTGTCATTGTTTTGGATCATTTGGATTTTGATTTTGCAACTCACCGACTGCACTAAACCACCAGCTGTTGCGAACCAAGTATTTCACATTTTTCTGCTATTATGCTTTCCTGTCTCTTGTCACCTTGCTCTCTCTCTCTCATTTTTTGCATTATGCGTGTGTGTTATTTTTGTGGTACTGTGAATCACTATGTTTGGGGTGGGTCTGAGGGAAGCCAGATGTTGGTGAGGGAGGTTTCAGGGACATGAGAGAGTTGAGGAGACCTAGATAGCCAGGTCACTCAGCCTGGCCCTGATGCTGCTGCTTTTGCTGGCCCGACTGAGCCGCCGAAGGTCTGTGCTGACTGTTACTGGGGGCTCATGCATCTCCACTGTGGTGGTTGTGACGTGGCCTTCCTCCTGCTCGTTCTTCCCCCCACCCCAGCTTCCTGTGTTGGAGGCAGTGCCCTGGCTGCTGCTACTGGAGGCAGCGATGGTGGTTGTATTGGTGATGTTGGTGTTACTGGTGGTGTTACTGGTGGGAAGGAGCAGTGCAGCATTGACCAGCTGCTGCTGCTCCTTGTCTGCACTGGTGGAGGAAGAGGAGGATGGGCAAGGTGAGGTGGCCTTCATTTCCCGAGTCTGCTGCTCGGTGGCGAGGTTGGCCCAGTTCTGCTGTGCAGCCAGCCTGTGGTTGTTGTTGTTGCTGATGTAGTAGTGGGAAGAGGGGGGAGGCTGGCGTAGGGACTCTTCCTGCTGGAGGTCGTCAATCTTGAACTCCGCTTTTGAGGGAACTGCTGCTGGCCCTATGGGTGGCAAGAATGCCCCACCCCCTGAAATCATATCTGTGTAGTTTGGAGGATAGCTGAGGCTGGATGGGGCAGTTCTCGAGGCCGAGGCCAAACACTCTGGTTCCACAATGTCAACGCGGTGCAGAGACTCATGGTCAGGGGCAAACTCATTTGTCATTCCTTGTTTAAATTTCTTCCATCCAAGGTGATAGATCTCTAACAAATTTAGGAAAAGAGACACACAAGCCACCACAAGCATAAATTTAATAAAAATAGTCTTTTCGGTGGGCCTCGATATGAAGCAGTCAACAGTGTTGGGGCAGGGCCAACGTGCACACTTGTATAGGGCACTCAGCTGGAAGCCATAGAGGAAATACTGCCCCAAAATGAATCCAACTTCAAACAGGGTTTTGAAAATAATGTTGAACACATAGGTACGCAGCAGTGTGCCTCTAATATGGATTTTGCCATGCTCATCCCTGATTGGTGGCTTCTCCTTCTTGCCACCTACTCCTCCATTTCTGTAAAGGAGTTCTTTCTCCTCTTGGAATCTGTTTGCTTTGTGCATCTCCTCCTTCTCTTTCCGCTTCTCCTCCATGCGGACAATGTGTAGCACGTGGCCCAGGTAGATGAGAGTTGGTGTGGACACGAAGATGATCTGGAGCACCCAGAAGCGGATGTGCGAGATGGGGAAGGCCTCATCGTAGCAAACATTCTCACAACCAGGCTGTTGGGTGTTGCAGGAGAAGTCGGACTGCTCGTCGCCCCACACCTCTTCGGCCGCGGCCCCCAGCACCAGGATCCTGAAGATGAAGAGAACAGTCAGCCAGACTTTGCCGATGACTGTCGAATGCTCCTGAGCATTCTCCAACAGCCGCCCCAGAAAGCTCCAGTCGCCCATGCTTTAAAATTTCTAACCTATGGAGAAAGTACAGG